GGTTCACTGGGACTCCAAGGCCAGTTAAACAGAGATTAGATCAGGAGGCTAGCGGAGGAGAAAGCTTCAAAGGTAGGAACATTATGCACCCATACACACACAGGCAGAACAGTTAGTGAAACGGAAAGCAATGCCTAATATGGAGCAGTTAGTTGGAGACAAAGGAAGAAGTGAGTGTGTATGTAGGAATTAAGGTAGTATAGGTATTCCTCCCCTTCCTAGGGCGCTGTCCACGACGACTGGAGCAGAAAGGACCATGGAGCACGGACGGACTGAAGGACCAATAACGGGAGAGTCAAGTCTAAACCACAGCTTCTCCCCAGCAGTTTTTGACCAATTAGATAGTAGCACCTTTTCATACAAATATTGTATACCGATAAGCTGAGGACAGTCTTTTCTGTTTATCCTAAACAGTGAAGATCCATGTGCACATGTTAATTTTGATATGTTAATGCATAATAAATTTCACACTGTGAAATATATATCCTCTTATTAGTCTTCTCTTTTCAAAATAAAGAACACGACTCACAATAGTAAACTGAATATAAATAATTTGGGATCTGATTTAGAGACAGTTTTCTCCTGCTAATCATACAGCAACAACAGCCTATATTTTCAAATGACTCTTGGAATTAAAATGTTGTCATTATAGTGATAAGGTTCTGTAGCTGGTAAATTTGGTTTGTTTCATACAAACATAATAGTTCTCATGACTTTGGTGATCCTCGATACAACTATTGGATGCGCTGTCATGAAATTTGGAACAGATTTTCACGTCCACCAATCAGGATAATTTCTAATAACTTTTGTGATTCCTTCACTTGTCATGTGGTACCATCATCAGGTCAAAACTTTGATTTGGGTTTCTGACCAACACCTGCACAAGTGATAACAATCCCATCACCCTCAGCTGTACTTTGTGTTTAGTGCTGAAATAGCTCAACAACTACTGGATGAATTTCCATGAGATTTAATATGCCTCTCCAAATGAACTGCAAAAACTTGGTGATCCCTTACATTTTTCATGTAGTGCCATCTTGTGGTTAGCGTGTAACCAAATACCCACAGAAGTAATGACATTCCCATCAGTCTCAGCTGTATTATGTGTTCATTACTAATTAGCAAATGTTAGTATGGTAATTGGATGATTATTATGCCTGCTAAACATCTGCATGTTAGCATGCTAACATTAGCATTGAACTCCATGAGCCACTGTAAAGCCTCACAAAGCCACTAGCATGGCTGTAGATTCTTAGTCTAGACTTTTTTCAGCACTTCAAACAACTGAATAGTGATTAGAATATAAATAGAAATTCTCTCTTATGAACAGGCTAATTAAGTGCTGTGTATGGAAATTAAGTTACTACACTCAAACCTAGCTCCTCTCCTGCTGTGATTGTTCACCTGCTCTTTGATTAAGATATGTTTTGGCCTTGTGCCTGGGTGATAGCTTGTCTAGTTGTCTGATGGAGCCCTGCATTGGCAGATCAACAACCATGGCCATACTGATCTACAGTGAACATAAACATATCAAGAACAGAGCAAGCACACTGATTAGGAGAATATGTCTTAAATCACAGTTTATTTCATGTGCACAAACAGGACAGGGGGTTTTATTATATTTAAGTCCACAGTATTCAAACTGACATATAACATTTTCAGGCATCTTCTTTTCAGTTTGGAGCTACAGAGTGTGACCAGCTGGGGATCAGACCTGAATAGAGACTCATCATGTCAGTTTCGATTCAGTTCATTGTTGAATGGTTGAAGGTTATAAATGAAGGGACCGAACAGCCTGATTTACTTGGAAATGCACAGTGACTCTAATGAGCATGAGACAGTTGTTACACTCTCATGATGCACTTTGGGAAAATCCAGGGTTTAGGATGCAATAATTACCATGTGCCTTCTGGCAGAGATGTAAAGAGGCTTTCAATCAATCTCTGTGCACCTGGAGACAGTTCTAAAGCTAATGTGGTCTGCAGAAGAGGAGAATGAATGGATAGCCACATACAAATAAAATAAAATAAAAACATTATCAGGCTCTGCAGCAGCATTGTTCATATATAATCTCTACAGATGTTTGTTAAACTATCTATAAGTGAAGATATAGATGGTCAGAAACCATGTGCCAAAATGGAGACTACAGATAATACCAAGCAACTGGTCTCCCACTGTGCTTAAATTTTGTGTAATATTGACACAAAAAGGAAGATGCTGCTAACAAGTGTTGTTGTACTGCTTTAAGTGAGGGGCCATTATGTAGATGAAACAGATCAGGTCTAAACTGGGATTAGCAGTGCAGCTTCATATATTGCCAAGGGATATATTCTTTTAACCTTATCCCTTAGGGTGATGCTGAGAGGCAGGGGTGACACGGTGGTGCTGAGCTTGTGACAGGAGAAACACAGAGATGAAGAAGCTCATTCCAGTCTGCCCTCCTCACCTGAATAATTGCTCATTAAGTGATTGGCCTGACTATCTATACTGCCATTTACTGTCCAATCAGTAGCCATAATATCCATATCCATTATTTAATAATGGACAAGTGTACCTCACTCAGTGTAGCTGCGATCGCCCCTTGCATGAAATACTTCTAAATATGGCCATTTTCCAGTCAACCCAGTTTAAGGTTTACAGTATATCCACATTACAGTATGTTGATACCAGTGGTGGAAAAGTACTCAGAAAATGCTTATTGAATTAAAAAAGTCGGCCTACTAAATATTCTCAGTGTTATATGTTTTGCACATAGCCTGTGCAGTGACTAGGTCTTAGTAATACCTACCATACTTATAAATAATGAGGAAAAAAGTAAAAGAAATTGCCTCTAAGTACTGTAGAAAAATCAGTAAATACAGTTACTCTACTAGCTTACTGTATTTCTATGAACAGTGATGGGCAGGACTCCTCCCTTTGTCTGATCTGGGACCTGCCAGCTCAGCCCCCACTCTCCACAGCCAGCAGAGTTGTTAGGACCAGTGATGGACAGCAGGCTGTGTCGATATTTCTGGTGACACTGTGCTCTGACAAAGCTATCAGGGGAAAATATATTATAGGCTATCTGCATTTTGAAGATGGGATTATACAGAAGCCATCAGAGGGGAACTGCTTGTTCGGTCGGCTTGGAGAGCTCAGTGTGAGACACAGGTGGGCCATCAGCTGGATGTATTTTCTCTGCCTGCAAAACATAGTGGTAGTTGCATGTAGAAAACGCAGATGTTTTGATTGTCATCTGTTCTGTTGTCTTTTTTTGAGCGACTTAATCAGTTCAACAAACGTCCAGAGGGGTGTAGTTACACAAACTCAAACTGTAGGCTGCAGAAACACTTGCTGAGGTGACACATAGATACACATAATGAAAGGTGTAAAGACATTTTTTAAGTGGATCATTACTGTATGCATTTGGCATGAAACAGTGCAGGCCTGTATGCCCATTTATAGGACATGGTGTAAATTCTCATTCTATTAAATATAAAACTCAAGTCACTTTACATGTATAATTGGAATAATGAAGATAATGAGTTTTTTAAAACATGTATAATAGGGAAGAGGATTGATTGCTGAGCACACTACCTTACCACAAGTCTCAAGCCTCTTAGTGAGTCCTGACCCATGGATGCTGCTCAGCTGTCTCTAGGAACAAAAACAGTAATAATTTAAAAAGTGAATTGAAAAATCCTTACAAAGGAAATGGCAAGGAAGTGTCATTACTGTATATTAATAGTGTTGTTCAGGCCAATTTAAGCATATAATTCAAAGACAGCCTGATTTTGCTTGAAAATGTCATTATCAAATGTTGTATAAAAGCCACATGCTGATTTTGTTTATCAGACAATGGACATAAAGACATGTGTCCAAAGACTTTCATCAGCACTTAGTGTTATTTCTTCACTAGTATTTTGACATTCAAATTCCATCTGTGAACAAAACACAGTGTTGTACATTTCCACTCGAATGCAAGTATAAGTTTTTTTTTTTTTTTATTAATTTTGGCACAATTAAACAAACATAACCTCTGAACTGGCAGGTATTTCCAGACCAATACTCTCAGAGCAGTTGCACCATCACCATCTTCTCTGGGGGTGAATTCAGTTGTGGTAATTATGTTTAAAACAAAGAAAACAGGTAAAACATAGACAGAGCAAATAACTTTTGCACTTCAGGCAGTTTTTTGTAAACATGTAATCTCAGATTTGAAAAAACAAACAGCTTCGTGGTTCAGTGATGATGATGTAATCCAAATGCAGTGTGCAGACACACTGTTAGCTTTACCTTTAGTGACCCTTCAAGCACTCAGCTTCTTGGTGATTTTGTCAGGGTGATTTAATTTAATGGGGGTTGCTTAACTCCAGGGTATTAGCACTAATCTACATGTGTGCACGTGTTAAAACCATTGGTGACCCAAGATATCAGTCAGTCATTATTTACCAGCAGACAAAACACCTATTTTTGAAGCAAAAACATAAATAAAACTGATTTTACATGTTATAGTTTTAGAGTTGTTACGAGGTAGAAATTCAGTCAAGAGCCTAAAACTAATCTGCATCACTGTATCAAAACATAAAAACAAGGAGAATGATGCCTGTTTCCCCAGAAGTGAGGGGAATCACTGCGCTCGGCCACATACAGTAGGTCCTGTTCTTTAAAACATGATGCGCTAGTAAATTTAACCTGCTCTACACATGACTTTACATAGCAACTACAGTCTACCAGTAAGCCATAGCTTAGTTATTTTAAAAACCAGCTGGTCGTTCAATGAGCGAGGACAGTGATCCTGTTTAGTGTTAAGGATGTAGAGAGGATGTATTTTTAGGTGCTACTCTTGAGCAGACAATAACAATAGTGTTCAGTATACACATTAAGAACACAGCTCTCAAGAGCCAAATTCAGGGTTTTTGATGTAGGATTTCTGTCTTGTAAAATCTGTGTACCGTAATGTTTCAGTCTGGCAGTGTGTTTTTCTCTGTCCTTGTCCAGGCCAGCAGAGCCACATTAACATGGCAAAAGTCTCCAGTGGAAAGTCTTTTTCAACCAGACAGTGGCTGCCCACCAGCACACACAATAATGAGCTCGCTGTCATTGAAAATGGCGACAGCAGGTCTGATATTTCCATGAAATTCTTAGGATTCAAGTAATGCTCAATATATTCTAATTTGCGGGAGATTTCAGGAACAAATCGGTGCCTTTTGCACTGTTGCGTATGCACTTTAACCAGTCACCTGTTGTCTTCCAGGGCTTGCTCTCTTTGTGAAGACAACTCTGAGACAGCGCAGTCTTCAGAATCCCATAGAGACTCGTTTACAGGTGCTGGGGCAATGGCCAGGTAACATTTTAAAGTTCTTAGTACTAGTGGTGGAAAGTCCATTTATTCAAGAACTGTACTTAAGTACGGTTTGGAGATACTTTACTTGAGCACCTTCATTTTATGCTACTTTATACAGTATATTTCAGAATAAACTATAGTGTTTTTTATTCAGTTGAACTGCATTTCAAATTAATTACAGCAAATTCAGCTCACCCTTAAAGACTAAACCAGAGGTTACTGACCAAAAACTGTTTTCTCAGTTTGTAAATATTCTCGAATAAATATCTCTTCAAGGCGCATACTGTATTTCCAACATTTCACATAAAAGCAAAGATTCCCATCTTGTGACGCTTCAGAGTGGACCAACTCTTAGCCTGAGCGCCACTGAACTAAACTAGTTAACTGTATATAAAGAAGTTAAAAGTGGCTCCACCTCAAACAGCTACAACAGGAAAATGTTGCTTACACACTGATACATCAGCATTAATAATTTTATAATGTAATACATGATAACATACTATATCAGCCACAGGAACCACTTTTGGCAGAATGATCATTTTTTGATATTTTATGTATGGTTTTACCTCCCTCTGACCCTCTAGGCTGTCTAACTTCTTCTTCATGCTGCGGAACTGGGCATCTCACAGAATAAACCCTGAGGCAGAGAGGCATGACTCTTTCCTTGAGCGCTTCAGAGGCCCTGAGCTCAAGGACGTGTCAAGTCAAGATTGCAATGCCCAATCTGTGAGTCATGACGACACACACCATAAGAGAAAGTAAGTACTGAACAGTGGAGCAACAAAGTTAACTTTACTGGGCTCAGAGTGACTGATTTGAAACATTTCAAATAAACCCACCCAACTGGACAATTGATCTACATTGTATGAGTAACATTTGATTCCTCAAAGCTTCCATCGGTCAATCTTTGCTGAATGGAACTATAAAATGATGTTACAATCACAGTGTTATGGAAGTTACAGTCTTCAGCTTCAGTAATGTAACTGTTTCCTGTTGGGCTCCAACCACACCTACCTCACCCAAGTCCTGTGACTAGGAAGTGAAGAATAATGTTAAAATGAACTAGACCTCAACCACAAAGTCAGCTGAAATACAAACACACACTATGAGTTTTAAAGGCTCAGAGAAGGATGGCCCATTTGAAATACTTGTAAAAAATAAACTGAACCCAAAGTTCTATGAAACTTATTATTAAAAGTCTAATTGTTTATGTTGTGTAAAAATGAGATACACGCAGTACTTTCTTATTTTTTGGCAAATTTTGGCTGCGCTCATTATTTATTCACTCCCAATTGGGGAAATCGCTGCTGCATCTAACACAGCTCTAATGTCTGTGAGGGTTTGTTGTTTCATTCCTCCATAAAGTCTTGCCAGTTACTGGCCACTAGCTACTTACAGCATGAATAACTGCAACAACACAGACAAGTAAGTGTTTACATAACTATGTTGGAAAATAGAAATAAAGCAGAGGTAGATTTTTACAGAAATCCCCCCTAGATCATGCAGGATATTACTGTATGTTGTTGTGGCTGATGTGATATATCCTGCAGTGTAGCACAGAAATCCTTAAAATGAAATGTCTCCCTATTCTCCACTCCTTTTGGTGTTTCCTTTGGCATTAGAAAAAGAACTCTATGTCCCTTTACTTTCTTGAGGGATTTTGTTGTTGTGGGTTATGGTTGGTTGAACTGACTTAACCTTCAGAAAATATTTAGATATGAACTGCACAAGTATATTGTGACATTTAGCAAAAAAAGTGCTAAACTGAAAGAAAACACACAGTAGGACATACTGTCATGCACTGTTGTACACCTGCTGTGCTTCCATCTAGTGGACAAATATATGCCCTGCACAACATCTTCCAACATGGCCTTGAATCCCAAACCTCTAGAATACCCTTAATTTAGTTGGTTAGACATTCCCTCATAGACCACCTTTCCTTTGTCCGCCTCCCACTACACAACATTAAACATCTGATCCATAGCAAAAAAGAGGACAAAAAAGAGGAGGTTAAAAAAGATGAGAAAAAGGAGGAGGAGAAGAACGATGGGGACAAGAAGGAAAAGGAGAAGATGGACGAGAAAAAGGACCAGATAAAAGATGAGAAGAAGGATGATAAGAAAGATAATAAAAAGAAAGAGGAGCCTCTGTAAGTACTGTATGCCATTAGTTAAAGCCTAACATAACGGGGAAATGTAATTGCATTCAACACACATCTGTCTATTTTATACTTGAGTTAAAAAAAATCTACTGAATGTTGCAACATCAGTTAAGGCTGATTTGTTTTTAGGAAAGAAATCTGGATTATGGATCCAGCTACAGAACAGTACTACAGATGGCTCACCATCATAGCAGCCCCAGTGTTTTATAACCTGATAGTGATTGTGACAAGGTATTGTGAACTTCACGTTTTACAGCTTGATCTTCACTCAGAGGGATGCTCACAAAATTTAAAGTGAGTTCTCCTTGTCTTCTAGAGCCTGTTTTAATGAACTCCAGGACTCTTATACAAAACTCTGGATATTTTTGGACTACACCTCAGATATCCTCTACTACACAGACACATTTGTCAGATCTAGAACAGGTTGGTTTCTTTACAATGTTTCAAGAGAATTTATATGTTCACCAATTTGTGTTCATTGTAGTGCACAGTTTTGTCTCCAAATATTGTGTTTGTCCCTCAGGTTACCTGGAACAAGGTCTGCTGGTAAAAGATGCCACAAGACTGAGAAATAAATACAGAAAAACACCTCAGTTCAAATATGATATCATTTCAATGGTACCCACTGACCTGCTGTTTCTGAAATATGGGTTCAACAACCCAGAGTTTAGGTTCAACCGCCTTTGCAAAATGCCTAGACTTTTTGAGTTCTTTGACCGGACTGAAACCAGAACTAACTTCCCGAACATGTTTCGAATCAGCAATCTTGTACTGTATATCCTCATTATTATCCACTGGAATGCTTGTATGTTCTTTGCTATTTCAAAAACCATTGGTTTTGGAGCTGACACTTGGGTGTATCCCAATATCAGCCACCCAGAGTATGGCCGCTTAGCCAGAAAGTACATCTACTCTCTGTACTGGTCCACACTGACCCTCACCACCATTGGAGAGACTCCTGCACCAGTCAGAGATGTTGAATTCCTCTTTGTCATTGCTGACTTCCTCACCGGTGTGCTGATCTTTGCTAGCATTGTTGGTAACGTTGGTGCCATGATTTCCAACATGAATGCCTCCCGTGCTGAGTTCCAGGCAACGATTGACTCCATAAAGCAGTACATGCAGTTTCGAAATGTCAGCAAAGACCTGGAGGCCAGGGTCATCAAGTGGTTTGACTACCTATGGACTGAGAAGAAGACCTGTGATGAGAAGGAAGTGCTCAAGAACCTTCCAGACAAGCTCAGGGCTGAGATTGCCATCAACGTCCATTTGGATACATTGAAAAAGGTGCGTATTTTCCAGGACTGTGAAGCCGGTCTCCTGATTGAATTGGTGCTCAAACTGCAGCCACAGGTGTTTAGTCCTGGAGATTACATCTGTAAGAAAGGGGATATTGGCAGGGAGATGTACATCATCAAGGAAGGGAAGCTGGCAGTGGTGGCCGATGATGGAGTCACTCAGTTTGTAGTGCTCAGTGATGGCGCATACTTCGGGGAAATTAGCATCTTAGGAATCAAGGGCAGTAAGGCAGGCAATAGAAGAACCGCCAACATCAGGAGTGTAGGTTACTCTGATCTCTTTGCCCTGTCCAAAGATGACTTGATGGAAGCACTCACTGAGTATCCAGATGCCAAGAAGGCTCTGGAGGAGAAGGGTAAAGCCATCCTGATGAAAGACAATCTGATTGATGAGGCAGTGGCCAATGCTGGTGCTGATCCCAAAGACCTAGAGGAAAAGATTGTAAAACTGCAGAGCAACCTGGACGCAATCCAGACCAAGTTTGCCCAGCTAATGGCAGAATTCATCTCCAGCCAGGCAAAGATGAAACAGAGAGTGACTAAAATGGAAGCCAAAGTGAAATCCTTACAACCAGAGGACCTGTCTGAAGTGATGGCTGACAAAGACCAAAAAGTCCAGTAATGTCAGAGATACCCAGAGGACTTTATGGGAAGGAATTTTTCATTTAGAGTAATAGAGTGACAGTTTTTAACCCTATAAAACCATTTGTAACATATTTGCTATGTGAGTTTCTGAGCAACAAAAAATTGCCAAAAATGCCCCATGTATCAAACTTGATACAAAAAATAAAAATAAACAAAATAATATGGCACATTTATTCCTATATGCCTGGACTGTCTGTGCATAAATGGCAAATAAAAATATGAAATTTTGACTTTTCATTTAGATTTTGTTAAAAGGTTTAATAAACATTTTAGTTCCAGTTGGCAATTTTTTGATGTGTCAGGCTTTACAGGGTTAAAGATGCATGTTTATACGGTATCTATTAATACATCAGGCATATCATCCTAATGTATTAAAATGTGTACAGCATGTGCAGCAAATACATACAGTATTGTTGTGTGCATGCTATGATTGACAGCCAATTTGTCATGAAACTATCCCAGTATGTTGATCAGAACCACGTGTGTATGCAAAAATTAATTTTTATATCCTTAGAACAACAATGGGTGTTTTTTTCTTTATTCCAATCAATATTGGTATTTTCCCAGAAAAGATCATCTATTTGTAAAATATGAATTATAAAGCAACATCAATTTGATACTGTTTGTGAATGTACAAATTAAACTCAAATGCAAGTTCTGGTTATATGTTATCAGTGTACACTATAAGGTGTAACTCTGCAATGTGTCAATAAACAAAATGTTCATATAACACATACTGCATGTGTTTATATTGTAATTTTATAGGTAAAAGAAAATGTTTGAGCTCTTTCCTGCAGGTGTGAGCATTAAGATGTTTTTAGTGTCTCAATGAGGTTTGTTAAACCATCTTTACTGACTTTAAAGCTCCTGAAATAAGGGACAATCAAAGGTTGCTTTAACATCCTTTTAAAATAAGTTTTCACACTTAGTTTTTCTTTAGGTTTAGTCTGCAAGCCATAAATAACTCACATAATAAAAACAAATTATTTATTGTTAGTGACTCAACATCTCAGTTAATATGCTTTATTGTATTTAACCAGAGTTTATTAACAGCAAAAAAAAACAAACTATTATCAGAATCTGATCTTGCTAATTCCTGATCATTGGTAGATGAAAATACGGCACCTGACTTGGCAGAAGCCATGAAGCTCTGTAGATCTGAGGGGAACTGCAGCATCAGGTGATAATTCTCTGTGGGTTTGTCCCCAGCCCCTTTTACTGTACATTATAAAGTAATGTGATCCACTGTTAATATAAAAATAGTGATTATGGCAGTTTTATGTTACCTATATCAGATGTAATTCCTTCAGTACATATTTGTGACAAAGCTTAAAGAGGTGTCACCTTTATTTACTTTGCATCATTGTTGTTTTAGATAAAAGTTTCACATTATCTGCACATTTATTACAGTATGTACCTGAGGTATTCAGCCAAGTTAAACACTGCATGTTACTTTAGTCCTCTTTTAGGCATTTGCACATTTGGCAACCACACTGTGCCATCAGTAACACTTCACAGCAAACAAAGCAAGAGAAGAGAAACTTTTTTTTCAAGATGCAAAAGTCTGAACAGTTCTGTCAGCGAACACATTCTAAAACTGCACAAGCTATCAAAACTCACTATCTGATGAGGTCAACTCGTTTTAACTGTAACACAAGAGGCATGGCACAGAAATACTTTAAAATAACCTTTAGGTTAGAGGTGAGTGTTTTCGCACTGAGAGAAAACAGTTCACACATAAGTTTGTCAGTGAGGCTATTTGGATCAGCAGTAATAGAAAAGGCTCAATTAGAATATAATACAGAGAGAATCATAACCAAGAAGCACCAGTAGGCCCAGTCAGCATGGCACTATGAAGATGGCCTGAGGACTGATTACTGCTACATTACGAAGAAGCACAAAAAGTAAATCAAGTCAAAGTAAATCAACATATACTGTATACTGTATGTGCATCCATTCACTCAAAATCCTATAAAGTGCACTTTCACAGTTTCATAAATATTGCTCATGTTTGCTCAGAAACAAAATGCATGAAAAAATAATTTACTTAAGTGTGATGTTAAATTCTTTGGGAAACCTAATGACTCCAAAAGAAGTGAGACCTCTAGAAGAAAGGTCGACAGTGGAGTTTGACTGGTGGAGGTCGGTTAGTCATGGGGTAATCGCAGCATTTTGTTTCACGGCATTTCCCTCTGTACTTTCTGTTGTTAAAATGCAGTCTGAAAACATTTCTTTGTTGATCTGTCACAGCATCCCAAATCCCTTGGCATAAGTGATGGCCTTTAGGAGTCTCTCTCTCAGTTTTTCTTTGGAGGAGTATTCTGGGAGCAACAGTGCATTAAAGCAGGTGTGAGAGGTTGGTAGCCTGAAAGAAAGGATTAAAGTTAGCATACTGCCTGGCTTGGCAATAAACATGGGACTGATGTGAACCGTTTTGTGGGTTTGCAGAGCAAAAGAATCTCTTGAATCTTTTCTCAATTGACTGACACAAGGACAGAGTAACAAAAATGGAGCGTCAGTAGCAAGATCGATGATACAGTGATGCCTTGAGTTCTTCACTACTTCCCACTACTTTAATGAGCATCCCTCTGAGTGATGGCCTGAGTTCTTCAAGTGATCATTTGCTGTGACTGAAAATGTCTAAATAAAACCTCAAATTAAAGCTGACTCTACTTTACATTTTTAGAGCCAAAAGAATAATGAATCAGATTTTCAAACCCATTTTCTTGCACCTCACTGCTGTGTACCTGTCTGAGTCTGAGCCATTCTTGGCGATGATCATTTTTAATTTGCCAAGCCCGCCAACCGGTGCTCTGTCAGTGCCAGTGGTGAACTGAAGAAACAACCTCTTCTGTTCCTCTCCAAATGAGTGAATTGTTTCCCAGAAATCTCTGAGAACAGAAAAAACAGCAAAACTGACTGATGAAATCAGTGTCAGTTTGGAAATACAAAGTGTTGCTTAAAACGTACTGTCAGATAATTAAAGCAGAACACTCTGGATGTGGAATAAAGGGAGATCAGACTCACTTGATAATTGGAGTATCTTTGCTATAACCTCCATCATAGTCTGTCGTCTTTTCAAGTGCTTCAAAGTCAAGTTTCTGTGAAATTACAAGAGACTGCTCTGTAGGTCATAAAGCAATGGCTACAATAAAGCAACAAAAGTCAAAACTAAGGCCAGTTTCCTCACCCTGCTTCCGCAGATAAGCAGCTCTACTTCCTCTGGTCTAAACAAATATTTCAGTGGAGACTCATTGGTGACCATAAGGAAACCTTTTTTGAAGGCTTTGAATTGTGTCTCCACGCTCTTGTTCAGTATGTATTCAGTATACAGGTCCACAAATTCCTGTAAATAGTAGATGTAAAGAGCAAAATCATCTGTAAATATACAATAAATCACTTTAGATTATTTAAGATGTGAATCAATCAATTCTAGTGAGTTTTTAGGTGTCTGTTTAACTTTCTCTCATTAGAGAAAAACAAGATCTAAAGTATCAGTCAACAAAATGACAGTTGTATTGCATAATTGCGTGGTATTTTAAATACAACAAGTTCCTATTGCTGTAGTTGTGAAACGTACACTTCCACCAAAAGAGGAACAATGAAAATGTGTCAATTGCTGCTTCTAATATTTATGGGGCTACAAATGATGTAGAATAGCTACAGTTTAATACCCTTTTATGAAATTTGGCGAGTAAAATTTGCATGAAACTAATATCAAGTCCCCTTGTACCAACTTCTCACTGCTATGGTAGAGTTTCTGTAGCTCTTGAACTATCAACTGTCCAAGTTGATCATACAGTGCCTTGCGAAAGTATTCGGCCCCCTTGAACTTTGCAACCTTTTGCCACATTTCAGGCTTCAAACATAAAGATATAAAACTGTAATTTTTTGTGAAGAATCAACAACAAGTGGGACACAATCATGAAGTGGAACGAAATTTATTGGATATTTCAAACGTTTTTAACAAATAAAAAACTGAAAAATTGGGCGTGCAAAATTATTCAACCCCCTTAAGTTAATACGTTGTAGCGCCACCTTTTGCTGCGATTACAGCTGTAAATCGCTTGGGGTATGTCTCTATCAGTTTTGCACATCGAGAGACTGAAATTTTTGCCCATGCCTCCTTGCAAAACAGCTCGAGCTCAGTGAGGTTGGATGGAGAGCATTTGTGAACAGCAGTTTTCAGTTCTTTCCACAGATTCTCACCTGGCCGTCCCTCTAAACTTTCAGCTCATACAAGGAGAAGACTGATCAGAGATGCAGCCAAGAGGCCCATGATCACTCTGGATGAACTGCAGAGATCTACAGCTGAGGTGGGAGACTCTGTCCATAGGACAACAATCAGTCGTATACTGCACAAATCTGGCCTTTATGGAAGAGTGGCAAGAAGAAAGCCATTTCTTAAAGATATCCATAAAAAGTGTCGTTTAAAGTTTGCCACAAGCCACCTGGGAGACACACCAAACATGTGGAAGAAGGTGCTCTGGTCAGATGAAACCAAAATCGAACTTTTTGGCAACAATGCAAAATGTTATGTTTGGCGTAAAAGCAACACAGCTCATCACCTTGAACACACCATCCCCACTGTCAAACATGGTGGTGGCAGCATCATGGTTTGGGCCTGCTTTTCTTCAGCAGGGACAGGGAAGATGGTTAAAATTGATGGGAAGATGGATGGAGCCAAATACAGGACCATTCTGGAAGGAAACCTGATGGAGTCTGCAAAAGACCTGAGACTGGGATGGAGATTTGTCTTCCAACAAGACAATGATTCAAAACATAAAGCAAAATCTACAATGGAATGGTTCACAAATACACATATCCAGGTGTTAGAATGGCCAAGTCAAAGTCCAGACCTGAATCCAATCGAGAATCTGTGGAAAGAACTGAAAACTGCTGTTCACAAACGCTCTCCATCCAACCTCACTGAGCTCGAGCTGTTTTGCAAGGAGGCATGGGCAAAAATTTCAGTCTCTCGATGTGCAAAACTGATAGAGACATACCCCAAGCGACTTATAGCTGTAATCGCAGCAAAAGGTGGCGCTACAACGTATTAACTTAAGGGGGCTGAATAATTTTGCACGCCCAATTTTTCAGTTTTTTATTTGTTAAAAAAGTTTGAAATATCCAATAGATTTCGTTCCACTTCATGATTGTGTCCCACTTGTTGTTGATTCTTCACAAACAATTACACTTTTATATCTTTATGTTTGAAGCCTGAAATGTGGCAAAAGGTCGCAAAGTTCAAGGGGGCCGAATACTTTCGCAAGGCACTGTAATTATCCTTCACAAAGGGGTACAGCAAAAGCATGCAACTTCAGAGACAACAAATAACACGTTCTTCTTCTTTCAAATGAAAAGATGTCTTCTTTAGCAATAAGACGCACCCTGGGTCAAACAGACACACCCAGGGTTTTGTTGCTTGGCCTGATATCGCCAGCTTGTGGCAAATGCTACTGTACCTTTAGACAAACATTGCTCTGTAATGTACATTAATAAACCAGTTTGCTTTATTACTACTCTCTATGAGCTACTGCCACATGCTAATATTACACTACATTTACTATGGTTTATCTTTATCTTAATCATTACTTATGGCCACATCAGCTGCTGCCAGCAAAAAATACAAAGGCGGTAAAGGTAAAGAGAACAATGGATTTCAAATACATCACCTGTCTGTTCTCCTTAGTGACAGGGATGTGTTCTCCCTCCTCCTTCAGATCATATAATATTGAGTTTTCAAAAAGGTCAGTGTGTGATATCTGGAAGGTGAGCATCATGTCTTCCTCCACATTGCCGGTATATTCAAGCAGTTCCTTCAGACTCTGGTGAAGAATCTGCATGAAAAAAACAAACAAACATTTGCTTTTAAAGAAATGCCATTATTACTAATATATTTGGAAATAAGCTTATTCACATTCTTATCAATAGTTAAATGAGAAGACTAACTTGGCATAAAGATAGCAGAAACAGCTAAAGTAGCCTGGCTCTGTGCAAAAGTAACAAAGTCCACCTACTAGCACCTCTGGAGCTTACTAACACCTTTTATCTTGTTTATTTCCTTCCAGCAATAAACTCAACTGTTGACTGGTACAGTTATACCACTGTATTTATCCTGATTTCACCATTTTATTACAAATGCTATGATTCTTTGGTTTTATTCTAATCAGTTTGTGGTGCATTTCATATATGAATTGTGCTACAGAAATAAGGTTTATTTGGAGAAAGCTACTATACAGGATGTGAATCTGCCAAGTCCAAGTAGGTCCCTTTCTTGCCCATTAGTTTTCTGTAGACAACCATTGGGAAATGAACATCCAGGATGCAGTTGTTGTAAATGGCAAGCCCAAGGACAATTCCAATAAGAGTATACTGTGCTTCGTTCTCCAGGGAGGATGGATTAAACCAGAAAAGTTTGGTGTCGTCATCATAGGCGAACATTCCTGTTCAAACAAACAAACAGAAAGAGCATAACACACATTAAAAATACACAAAGCTATACAGTTTGACATTTACCAAAAATCCACTTTGCTGTTGAGACTCAGACAAAAAAATTCATACCACTCTCAGGTGTGTACATTAAATATAACCAATATAGTTAGTAGCCAGTTAGCTCAGTAGTACTAAGAGTGAAAACAGGGGGAAACAGCTACCCCACCTCTGTGGTGAAAAAAATCCACTTGCCAGCAGATCTAAAGTTCATTAATGACTATTGTATGTTATATCTATCTGCCAAGGCAACCAGCACATTTTCAAGGAAGTCACTGCTCCTGGCTGAAAACAGCCCAGAAAATAACCCCTTATAAAACTGCAAATTGTGGTTCTGACACTATGGTTTTTGCACACATTGAACAACTGAGACATGATGTGTTTATCAGTGGGCATTAGAGGTGCTGGTAGGTGGACTTTGGCTAGCTGTTTACCCCTCTTTTCAGTCTCAGTGCTAGGCAAAGCCAAGCTATCTTCAGCACATCACACTGGTATCTTTTGTGCTCGATAGTGAGTCCTGTTCATCTTCTAATTAAACTCTCCGCAAAGTGAATAAGTCCATCTCCGGAAACATCAAACTATTTGCTTAATACAGTATGATATAAAACAAAAATACATATTAAGCAAACATAAACACTGTAAAGTTGTGATTTCATGTCTCACCTATGTCAGGATTGAAAATTTCCTCCAAGACCAACAGAAAGAACTCCTTTGAAACCCCTCCTTCATCTATGCCTTGCTCCCCTTCAAACTCAACAAACAGCTGTTTCTTCAGGTCTGACGGGTTCTCCATGGAGATCATCTCCAACTGCAACACAGAGAGTTTGATTAACATGAGAAAGCAGTACTGAACCTCAATTAGACATCTCATGTATGTGCAATGATAACGTCTCACGCTGTGACTCACTCTGATGAGGGCATCGTCGATAATGTGATCTCTGCGAACTTTCAGCCTGAGATAGGGGTTGGGCTGCTGGCCCTGCACCATGCTGTAGAGGGCTGTGAGGCGTCGCTCGCTGTACATCCTGATCCTATTGTCATAGTACAATCCTTGATTCTTGGTGAAGACATTAAGGATGAAGGGGCAGGTCTGAAAAGAAAACTTAGATTCGGCATTGACCTTGAAAAATGTGAAATCTTTGTCCATCTCCACCACTTCATTTAGTGAGTCGTTTATAAAACTGTCAAAGGGGATGAGGGATCTTATGCTATCTATGGCTCGGACGCCCAGTTCTTTCTCCAGAGGGTCGACCCGGGGGCCCTTCTTATAGAGCTGCTCCTCACCTAGCAGCTCATGCAGCGAAAGCTCATCATACACAGAGTCGTCTTCGTCCTCCTCGTTATGCTCCACATCAACATCACCTCCTAGAATACTTGCATAGAAGACAACCTTTAAACACTGGGTCGCAGCCACCACAGTCTCATCATCATTTACCAGATTTTCAGCATCATATTCATTGCTGACTATTGTGAAAGTAATGAGCTGTTGGAAGGTTTCCATCATACGCTGGATGTGTGGAAGACTGTATGTGGACCAAAGCTTTGAAAGCCTGGCGAATGCAGTCACTGGCAGCTTGCTCATTGCCTTGCAGAACTGTGGCAAAGCCAGTTCAAGGTACTCTGGACTGTGAAGGTTACTGTTCTCCATCACTATGATGAAGATATTCAGGTAATCAGGATTTGTGTCGTACACATCAAGGTATTCCAGGTCAAGATCCATGTTTGGAGCAAGGTAAACAAGTGCGTTTACAAGAGCTGCCTCCACCTCGTTGATGGGTAGAAGTAGGTCATAGACTCTCCTCACAGAATCAATGTCCACTGTAACCTCACAGGGGTCGAACATTTGGTTAGGAGCATCGTCTGGTAAAGCAGCTCTAGAGAAAGCACCCATCCTCACTGAGGTTCCCTCACTTTGCTTTTCATGCCTGTCTGCTGGTGTAGAAGAGTTTTCAGTAGCCTCTGGTTCATCCTTCCTAAAACTCTTAATCAGGGCATCTGTGTTAGAGAAAATCCTGCCAATGACACGGATGAGGGCAGAGTAGTCTTCTTCCTCCTCACAGAAACTCAGGATCATACACACAGTGTTCTCTGTGAGGTAGTGAACATCTGCAACAAAATGAACATTGGATTAATGAAGCAAAATGAGTGTCCTGAGTGCGAGCATCAGAGTCAGTTTTGCAGTACCTGAGAAGTCCTCCTTGGTGGGACAGAGGTCTGCATTGCTCATATTACTGTCCAGCTGAGTGTTTGTTACAGCACTGGAATCCTTCTTGAAGGGGTGAGGATTACAAAGTTTGGCATTAATCTTAAACAGCTCGAGCGCTTTGGCGGCTGCTGAATTGTTATCCAAAGGTTGAAAATCACACCACGATGCACAAAACTCATTCGTGCAGTTGCCATTTCCGCAGCCTTGAGTTAACTGTTGAAAGTAGCGCTCAATTAGATGCTTTGCAGTCGCTCTGTTCCTGCATAACATATTCAAACAGGAAGTCAGACTGATTACATGTCATCAGTGGCTAGCAAAAAGCATAAACATATAGTTATAATGCAAAAGTAATAAAAGATGTTCTATGTATTTTGCTACCATACAGAACAACATTAACAAATAGAAATCAACGATTTATAAAAATATCTCAAAAAGTTGGTAGTCTTGAGAAAACTATAGTAATTTAACTACTTGCATGTATATCAAATTTCACATTTTCTGGTATAAAGTAAGCCGCCTCTGGTGTAAACTACTCAGAGATTAGTCTTGGGAAGACTGAAGTAAAGGGGTACAAAATATAATGAGAACAGTGAGAACCCACAGTTTGCCACAGCTATACTAAAGGTATCTACTCATGCATGTTGCTACTTGTGCTCTCATGTAATTGTTGCTTTTAATTGACATTTAATGTTTTATCAAATATATGTTCTATTTTATCTATATGTGCCTTTTAATGTTTAATGTTTTATTTTTGTGTGCATTGTGTTAAGCACTTTGAATTGCCTTTGTGTATGCAAATGTGCTATATCAATAAACTTACCTTGCCTACATGAGTTTATCTACTAGTCTAAGTACTTGAGTGTAATACCTTATAGAGGGACTTACATTCGGCTGGATTCAGATATCGTCCTGAGGGCTCAAAGGACGATCCTCTGAAAGAAAGGTTTCATCATAATGTTTACATGGTCTACTGTGAATATACTGTTTACAGCTATGGTTGTATATATTTAACAGAGCTTCAGTTAATTAATCTTAGTATGAGAAATGAAGGCTGGCTAAAGGTTATACATTTGCTTAAAAAAATTTAATACAAGGAGGAAAAGGGAGATTTTAAACCATCCTCATGTTTCAATGTTAAATATTTGTGCCATAAGAAAAACCATTCAGAACACCTGATACATTGATAAAAATGTCTTACCACTCGATTTAGCCTGGTTAAATATTAGTTATTAGCCACATTAGCCTCCTTTCACCAACATGATAAAGCAAAACATTGTCAGCTGACTATGACGAGTAGCTTTTATTGTAACTTAATGGCGTTTAACCACTCATTTCTCCTCTAGCTTCTTCTTAAAACACAGTAGACAAGCTAACAAGGTTATCCCAATAAAACAACAGAGATAACAACATTAAATTCAGTGTCATGCCATGTTTGCCTCAGCCCCATAGACCAACCTATGCCTTGAAGTGTAGACAGCGTGTGTCGGTGACAGTGCAAAAACAAACCTCGTCTACAGTCTGACAGCTGCTGTCTCACTCACGGTCTCACTCACGGTCTCACTCACGGTCTGTCCACTCGAGTCTGCGTCGCCGGGTACAACAGCTTCAGTTTGTTTACAACACGTAAATCAGGCTGTAGTGTCTCAACGCTGTCCAATCCTAATACGTTTTATTTTAAAGTCATCAACACATTCTACTCTACCATCTTCTAAACAAGAGCGCAATATATCCCAGCATGCCGTGCGAAGTTGTCAAACACCATGCCCCCTCCCACCTGCACGACGCAGAAACACAACAGCGACATTTAACAATATTCTCTTGAACATCCTAACACAGATTAAGATGACAGTTCAGCCTCTACACCACATATACACCTAATTTATTTATGCCTATTGAAACACGGTGATTTAACCAGGCAGGACATTTATTTTATTTACAAACTTATCTCTTACATTAGAATCGTACCTACATTCATCAGTCACATAGCAATCAGTTTATACACTAAGTAGATTAAAAGTGTCTTAAATTCACTTTAAAATAACATAACATCTATAACATCTCACATAAAATTCATTATCGGGATCAATTAAAGACCATGAAGAAAATAAAATGTATAAGACAGGAGATAGATTAAAGAAAAACTTGAATAAATGAGTGGCCTCCTCTAGGATCACATTGCTCACATCCATAGGGGAGGAGGGGTCCATTGAATTGTTTGATGAGTATGAAATGTCACCAGATCTCAAACCATTTGAACACATATGGGAGATGTTGGAGAGTCATGTCAGACAGTATCATCAAAACACCACTTGAGGGATTATCTTTTAGAAGAACGGTGTCCATCCCTCCAGTAGAGTTCAGAGACTCATAGAATCAATGCCATTATGTACTTTAAGTAAAACGTTAATGTGTAAAGTAACTAGCAACAATAGCTGCCAAATAAATGTAGTAAAGTAAAAATTCTAACAATATTTCCCTTTGGAATGTAGTAAAGTAGATTTATGAATTAGCAAAAAATGGAAATGCTAAACTACTAAACTATTCTTAAGTAAAAGTTTGGAGTAAATGTATTTATTTACTTTCCACCAATGACAATGTGCATGCATGGCTGAAATTCATACAGAAAAGTTTACTATCTTTCAGATTCAGCCATGAACATATTAACCTGCTGATTAGTCCATGCCTCTACTTGCAGTGTGCTGAAACAATCATGATTAGAGCTGGTCATTCTTAAAATATCATATAAATATGAGGCAGAAGTCAAAGTATATAATGTTTGAAAGCCATGAATCATACTTGTTCATACATACCATGTTGATTGAGGCCGACACACAGCATGACCTCACTCATAACCTCTAAATCATACAAATTAATCAAAACTGGCTGATATAGCAGGCAGTCAAACCTCTGTCATTTCTGTTTGCCTTGTAAATTATGCATTATCTAATCCATGTGCATTGGGCTTTTACACCATGTGTGACATTTGGATTCTTAACCTATGAGCTGTCTGTGTCCCATTGCGTACTGAGGGGACTTGATCTTAAACCATGAGGTGCTCTGAAGGTCAAAATATATTAACTATACAGTAATGCAGTTTAAAGTGGAAATAAATTCATATTCTTACAATAGAAGAACCATTCTCATCATTATTATCACGAGCATCTTCTTGAACACTATCAAGCTACTAATTGAACAGATGTGTGCTAAAAATACTTTCATGGTTGTGTTACAGTAAATGTATCATGTTGAATAAAAGGACATCATGCACAGCATTAATTATGGTCCTTAACCCACAGACTTGACATTAACTGTAGGACGTGGCTGCTGTAATGCACATGAACACTGGGAGACACTGTAAGCACACAAAGTATCAGAGTTATGGAGACTTTATTCACAAGGTGATCTTGTTCTTTCATTAGAGCCTACCACAGAAAAAAGACACATAACTGAACTGAAATAATCCACTTACACAGTTTGTCTAAAACACTGGTTCCTGCGCTTTTGGCTTGTGTTGTAACCACTCATCACATTAATGTTAGATACAGCATGTTTGTTTTAATTGATTTACAGTATTTTTTGACCCCTAAAGAGCTAAAGCTATCCAGTAATTCACAAGCCTGCAAAATAAACCAAATTTTGTGTCACACTAGTTGTGGATGGTAACTGAGCACATTAAGTTAAGTACAAATTTTGAAGCATTTGTACTTTACTAGAAGTACTCCAGCACTACCTTCCTCTATATTTTCGAGTGAAATGAGGTACTTTTTACTCCACTACATTTAACTGATATCTTACTTCTTACCACACAGGTTAAGAATTTACATTCAATCCAAAACAATCTTGTAAGAGACAGTTCTGTACTAAGGAAGAAACGAGTTTTCTGTTCGGGGCTCCTTTTCAGATGTCTGTGAGTTTGTGATAGTTTGACCAGACAGAGAGATGTGTTAACTTCTCAGATGGCTTCTTTGAAATAACTCTGTGACACCAAAAGAGATAAAATTATCCACTGTTTCATATGAGAGAAGAAGTCCAAATTAAGAATATATTTGCGTAACCAGAACTGTTTCTTTTCTTTTCTAAGTTGTTAACCAGAAGACTGAACAAGCAAACTGCACATGAAATAGTTCAAAATACCTCGTTCATCTACAACAGTAAACTTCTGCTTACACATTGATGCACCAGTATTATCAATTTAACATTGTCATGCGTAATAAAATATCAGTCACAGGGGAGATTTAGCTGCAAATCCAGTATTTTAGTTTTGTTACTTGAAGCACATTTAGCTTCTGTGTCTTTACAAATTAGGGATTTTAAGTGCAGAACCTGTAGTTGGAGTATGTGAAGTGGTGAAACTCTATTATTTAAGCATTACTTTGCATATTAGGATTTTACATACCAAACTCATGATCATTTTATAAAATATGCTACACTGTTATAAATAAATCTACCCAACATGTATGACATAATACATAGCTGGTCAACACAGTAAGTGCAAGGCTTTTACATGCTGCACAGTATGTGTTAATGCACTGATAATAATGGTCCAACAATGTGATATTTATAATAATATAACACTTTGAAAGAATGGTACTGTTAACATAAGTAAAAGGTATGAGTACTCCTCTAGCACTGTGAATCATGTCACCTACTTTTAATTTCAATATAAGGTATATTATCATAATTTTCTGATGCACTTTTTTGAAAAATGAAAAAAGTAGAAAGATAAATCTTGCCTTTTGTTTTTCCTGCCTCAGTTTAAAAATGTTAAAAACAACAAAAATCACAGCCACATGCAGGAACAGGAAAGGGAGGCAACTCCATTAATCCAGCTGAGCTTCACAGTCCAGGGCACAAAGGAACTTGTTTCGTCATTTCCATGCAAGTTTTCCACTTAGGTTATTATGTGTAATGTGTCACATGGAGGAACTTAGGGTTTAGCAGCCACTGATTCAGGTACAGATCTAACAGTGAACATTATCTGATGCCAAAGCGACCATTACATCATTTCCCTCCCAGCCATTTGATGTGGATTAAGTGTGCCCAACACTGATGTCATCATGACTGAATCAATGTACTAGTTAACCTCAACTGTACTGTTGGCACTGTAGGAATGTGACTGTTAACAGGAGGCCACTGATATGTTGTTGTAAGGTGACTCCTGCAAGTAAGCCATACAACGAACAGAGATGGGTTACTGAGGCAACCAAGACAGAGCTGATGCCTTCTGTGATCAGAATAATGTTCTGTCAAGACATGAAGGCCCCAGTTATGGTTTATAATCCAAGGTCATCAGCCTGAGGATTTTCAGCACTTCAGCAGAACGTGAGTGTTGAAATAATCACAACAGTCGACTGAAATGTTTATGAGGCAAAACCAGTATTTGCTTATATCTTGGTTTATGCCTCAGGGGCCCTCTGTTTGAAACATGTCCCTGCTCTTTTTCTATGTTGTTCTATTCATACACCTGAGACCCTCACACTGATTCTAACCATCAGTTCAGTAGTACATCTGTAGTACATGTGCTGCTACATCAAGGTTATGATTGCAGCCACCAGTGAGGCAATTAAGCTCCGTTGCTTAAAGCTACTAATTGGGCTGAGATAACAATGATTTAGTTAGCTCAGTTAAGTTAAAGTTTCCTGGCTAAAGAGTTATTTGTACACTACTAATGAGCCCTTAGCCTCAGCCGTATGTTGCATTAAGCATTCATTCGCAAATGTTAACATGCAAAAATGTAGTGAACATGGTAAACATTACAACTGCTAAACAACAGCGTTAGCAATGTTATTGGCAGCATATTAGCATGTTGACATTAGCATTGAGCTCAAAGTGTCTCTGTGCCTAAGTATAACCTGACAGAGCATAAACATAGACTCGTAGTCCTATTATTGTATTGCCAATATACTGTGTTTTTAATTAGTATAAAGTATTATAACAGAGTGCCTTTGGTTTGGTTCAACTTCTCACCTTACTGCAATAAAACACAGTGACATGACTTTTGAGTGGTTACTGGTGTAGCGATACGTGCTATCGACCCAGCAGAACAGCAGCCATTTGCACTAAAACACTGTTTTCCAGCCAGATGTCAAATTGCTCTTTAAATTATCCTCTAATAATTATTGTTAGTCCTGTTTTTGTTTTTCTTTCTTCTTCTAGGAAACAGGAACTGTCCCTATCATTTCTGTTGGATAGATTCTTGTCTCAGTGGGAAATTAGACACAAAAAAAGAGCAATAATGCTTTGGCTAAGCCACTCATCACAGAGCAGAACGGAGCCTTACAATGCCTCCACCAACTGAAAGACAGATGGCCCTGGCTCACAAAAAGCCTTCATTTGTTATTTGGAATCAAAAGTGATGAGGTGCATTGCTCCACTGGTGTAAATGATCAAGTCTTCTAAGAAAAATGCTACACTTGGGAGAATGGAGGGGAGAGACTGCAAGGCTTATAAATATACAGAATTCCCATACCCCAGCTCTCTGATGGCTTCTTGCACCAGCTTATTTAAGAGGCAGCTTAGGAATTTAAAAATGTCCTGATTTAAGCTTTATAAAACAGTGGGTCATGAGGTGGGTCACAGTGACTTTAATGGCCAGAATCAGTGAAGCTCCTTTGTGATAAAATGCAAATCAAACTCCATTAGCTTCTTCAGAATGACTCTCCTGTTTGTCTGACTGCAAGACCTGAGGAATCCCTCATATGCAGACTGGAGCCTGTTTAATAATATTATAAGTCTTTTACATAAACTCTCATAGTACAATATGTGATGACAGTGACAAAAATCTATTTTACTGCAAGCGCTGCTTGCTGTGCGACTGAGAGCAGACAGACCACAAAAAAATATTGTTGAGCAGACACTAAAGCTTTGGCACAACTTCCATGCTTCCCCACACAATATACAGAAAAACAGCTGATCAATCGGGTTGGCTTACACCTGGGGAAGGAAATGGAGAGAGCAGTGCAGCAAGGGGAGAGGACTCACACGAGGAAGCTGCTCTGGCAAAGTGCAGTGGCTCAGCAAAGACAGCAGCAGCAGAGCTCCAGCTGTCCTTTATCCTTCGTTGTGCCCTAAAACAAACATTAAAGTCATCCCCCACACTGCAGATATGATGCACACCAGGCAAAGTCAAAGTGCTGCAACACAAGGTCAAACATCCATCTTCTGCAAGGCCTTTCATCTCACACCTTTGTGCAGGTGTGTGAGTGGGACCCAGAGCTTCATTGTTATGCAAAAGGACTGAGCAGGATGAAGGTTCAAGTGTTGGTATGTTGAGTCAGCCAGTAGTTAAGCCAGTGTGCACATGTAAAGTGGTGTTTATTTTACCTAAGCATCTTTTGGAACTAAGGTGTATTTCCCTGTTCTTCTAGTGACAAAGCCCATTACAGTCAATAACGTACAGACTTAGCACATTTGTGTTTATGTTCAGAATTCAAACACTTAAGACAGCAGTGATCTGAGAGTTATTTCACTTGTCAGAGTAGTAAAAACACTGGTGTAAGTAAATTGAATTAAGGCTAGATTCCTTTCAGCTATCTATGTTTCAAGGTCCTGTATTGTGTGCATGCCAGCTTATTGCCACAACAGAATAAAGTTATTAACAATCTGAGTTTTTGCGGGGGGGGTAGTTTCGGCTTCGGCTTCGGTGGACAGGAAACGAGGGAGAGACCTACAGCAAATGTTATCAGCTGGACTTGAACTGCCGACATCACGCCTGTGATGTCATGCATATAGGGTGTGCCGTAGTCATTTGTTGACTGGGGCACGCCCAACACCTGTGATGTGACAATTCAGTTTGTTGGCTGTGAAAAATGCCTAGTTTTTAATAGGAAAACCCTTAAAACCAGAACTAGGACAGAAAGATCTCCAATAAATTCCCAGAACCATAATAAATATTATTTTAGGAACACTACCTTGAGACTGTACTTTAAACATACTGTAACCCAGTTTCTATGAAGCAACTAGTTGAACTACAGTAGTTTACACCCTGTGAGCTCAGCTAGACACATAACATCAGCATCTAAACAATGGTGAGTAGTTTTACTGCAATAACACAAGGTGGACAGTGCTTTGAGCTATGAAGTGTGGCAAGCTTTTAGTAATTCTAATTTCATTCCTGATCCCAAAGGTCTAAAGGTAAATTTTGTTCTTAATCCATAATTTCCATAAACACATAGTGTTAAAAAAGTCAAACTCAAACCATATACATGTTGAGGACAGACATTTTTATTAAGCAAACAGCACATTTGACTGAAAAAAGAAATGGACAGCAAAGGATAAATACTTCTCTTTTATTTTGTTCACAAGCAGCAATTATACAAGTAATTTCCAATTACTCAAAGGACAAAGAACATGTACAGTATATCTGAACAAAACCTAAAATATAGTTTTCCCAAGATAGTGACATGTATGAGGTGGTGTAATGTTATGTTGTGGACTGGAGCTCTTCAGTGTTTCCAGCTGGCAACAGCCCATTTATTTCAAGAGGCTGGACTGAAGCAGAACCTAAATGAGGTCAAGTCTGTGAGATATTTAGATTAATACCTTGATTGAGGAACTCAAGGCTTAATAGTAGATGTCAAATGTGAAATGTTGGTCTGCCTCATAACCAAAATGCTAATGAAAAAAAAAACAATGAACAGAGCTTGGATATCTGTGTGTGGTGAGTGTGACCGTTTCTGTGAGGAATTCGTGGCAATGCAGCAGTGAATACACTTGAGCTTCATTCTGGCACATAAAGTGCGACGCCAAAAGCTCAGAACAGATAGAAGCTATAAACTATAAGCTATAAAACCAAAATGGACAGACTGCGGAGTCAGAATCTGAACAGCATGCCAGAAGAAAGCACCGTGTGCAAAAAGCAGACAGGAGGAAGGAAACCACATTGCATGTATTATCTACATCAACACAAACTGCTCATCACTGTACATAGATACACCATCATCTTGAAACAAATACTGATTCAGCATCATATGCAAACATTTGTAATTTCTTATCCAGTGTTAAGGCACATACTATTGCTTAGAAAATACAGAACTATAAATGATCTTTGGTACATGATACACTTTACAAAAAAGTACTGCAATAAGAGATGCAACAACCAGAATTTTAAAGGTGCTGCTGCTGCTTTAAATGCTTAAAACATTAGTTTCCATACTTTGACCAGTTTGTGCATAGTGCCTAGTACATGACGTTTGTGAAAGAACAGAACAAAACATCCCGTTCTTATCATACTGTATCTGAGCATGTCAACAGCACCAACAACACTCAAAGGCGGTTCTAAAGAATGCTTTCAAAGTGCAAATTGGAATCTTTGAGCCTCATCTTTTACACAGAGTTTTACAGCCAGCAGGAAAAAAAAAGAGTAGACTGGGTTGAGATAAACTCAACACATGAAATAAACTGATAAAATAAAGACTAAGTAAATTTGTTTACAAGACGTGTTGGTGGCCTATTGTCAGCCTACTGTACAGCGCTCGTAGGAGCAGTTTGACATTTGGGGACATACACATATGCACTTTTTAATTCAGCATTAAATGAGAAAATACCACTGGCACGTCTATAGATTAAATAGAAGATATATGTAGCTATAAAATGGTTGACTTAGCTTTTGCTTAGCATTACAAATTGGAAACAAAGGAACAGCGAGCCGGGGTCTGTCCAAAGGCTACAAAAAATACCTATGAGCATCTCAATGCTCACTTATTAACATGTTATATCTCTTTTTTGATGGATTTTGGGTGGCAGTGTTTTGATGACAAGACCCAATGCTTATACTAAGTAAACAAACAAGATATAATGCATTAATAAATGGGTTTTTAGAAGTGTTAGTAGGTGGCACCATTACCTTATGGTTCCAGTCTTTATTCTAAGCTAAGCTAACTGCTTCAGGTTTCATTAATTGATACCACTCATGTTTGCATGTTATATATACACTGTAAAATCTGAAGCCAGTTGATAATTATCATAGCATAAACACTAGAACATTTGGACAAAGCCAGGCTAGCCATTTCCTCAGTGTGCAGTCTTGAGCTAAGCTAAGCTAACTAGCTATTGTCTATTGCTTCACATTAACTGTACCGACACAACAGTGGTATCAGTCTCCTTATCGAACACAGCAAGAAAGGCAGTTTTACCAAATACCAAACCATTACTTTTAATGTGAAATTGGTGGTCACTTTTAAAAGTAATTCAATGAATTAACAGACACACACAGGCACACACACAGTCTCTCTCACTCAAACAGCATAATTTCTGGTAGATTTTTGTTGTTTAAAGACTGAAATTTAAAGTTCTTGGCAGCACTTAATGTATGATTATGTTTAAAGTAATCTCTTATACTCATTCATTGGGATTTACTCTCTGACAGTTATAAACATGATTTTCAGTGTGTTGAATGTACAAAAAAACGTGTAAACCCAGCAATCAGACCGAAATGTGCACCGACCCAATGCCACTGTGAAAATGTACTAAAACTATAGGCAAATCCTCACAGACAAAATGAAACATGTTTCTGTGGGAAGTGCGCCATGGTGCCATCTGATTCGCTCCTAAATAACCCAGCAGTGGAATGTCTTGACTTTTCTCTTCCTTACATTAAAGCTTGTCCAAGTTTTGAGATGCATCTTTGTCAAATAACGTTTTTAAAGGAGATATTCCAGTTCTTCCATCTCCCAAACCTCAAAAATATCTTTAGCTTTAAACATCCAAAACATAAAGTACCTATTTGTAGCGTTTATAAAACAATCTCCTTGAAAAATAGAATAAAATTAGATTTTAAAAAACTATTGTGCAAATTGGAGTAACAGATTTCCGACATCACAAGGTGGTGTGCAGCGACTGCTCTGTCCTGTGCACTGGATGAACAGTGTGGTCAGAGCTGAGTCTTTCCTCTGAGTTCCTTGTGTATTTGACACACTGGGAGCCTCCGTGAGGAGGCAGAGCCAGCTGGACACTGTCTGCCTGTGTGAGGAGAGGTGTGGAGGTGATCCAACTGGACAGGCTCAGAGCTGATGACTCTAAAGTCTTATCAAGACACTCTGAGTCTTTGGTGACAGGATTCTGCTGCTCCCTTGCGAACGTAGGAGCTTCTTTGGTGGAAGCAAGTGTGTCCACTTTCGTAGGAACTAATGTGTAGAGATCTAAGAGGCCCTTTTCACTGTCAATAGGCCCTACCGGGCTTCTCTGGCCCTTTTCTTCATCTGTTTGTAAGACAGGCATCTGTTTGGCCTGTGATATTTTAGAGGTGGGGAAGCTCCTCTGGTCCTTTTTAGCATAACCTTTAGGGGAGGGCTTGGTGAGGGACAGGAAGGGAGGTTTGAGGTGGACTGGTGACCCCACCTTGACCCTGCTTAGGCTGAGGATGTTCCTGCGGGTTTCAGCGGGAAGTTTGTCCAACTGCCTTCCAACTTGGACTGGGCTGGGAAACAGCGTGCCTTGACACGCCCTGTAGAAATATCTTAACAGAAAAGCAAAACCAGACATTAGGACACGTCAGCACTATTCCACAGATTAATGCAGGGCTCTTGGGGTCAACAGACAAGGCATCTGGAACCAACGACTGATATAATCAGACTTCTGTTTTTAGTCAGACACAAAACAAGCAAGTACCTGGGCAGCAGAGCTGCAACAGGCGTGACGCCACTAAGCAGGTAGAAAAGAGGGTCCTGCAGCAGCCTCTGCATGGTCCAGTAGAGGTTAGAAGGGGAGTAGCAGGTGGGACAGGAGGCATTGTAGCACAAAGCCACAGTGAAGAACAAGGCAATACTGAAGATGATAGACAGCCAGTTCATCCTGGTCTACAAGATAAGCAGACAAGGAAAATAATACTTTATTACTTTTTTGTGAATTTGCTTTGTATAAAACCATAAGAATGGGAGGATTGAGTAATAATATGGAGAAGAGAAAAGAAATACTTAAACATCGGGGATCTAACACCCTATAACAACTAACATCACCATAGACAGTTCAGGCTGCATGCCTAGAAGTGATTATTTGTTTCACACACATTAAAGCTCTTTTTTAAGAATGAAAATCCAAGTGAGTGCTGGTCAAATGTCTAGTAATCATTTAACGTATTTGTATACAACTACTGTAACAACAGTAAGTCAACTTTGAACCAAGGAGTCAATATTCAAAATGTAATGGCTGCCTACAATACAATAAACAGATAAATGTCATTTTAAGGCTGCATCATTGCTTTTTGCTACTTGGGAGGATCATAAACTGTAAACACAGCATATCATAGCATTATAAAGTTGCCATGGTCAATGTGCGAGCAATCAGTTACTACTTTACACGTCCAACAGATGTAGCAGCAACATCAGAATTCACTGAGTTGCATTTCTCATTTTCACTTTTGGTTTTGAGTTTCATCATAGCCTATTAGGTTGTACCATTTAGTTTATCCTTATTACTTGAATTCAGTTTTCATATTCTATTTATTCTACTTTATTAATTATATTTTAGTTTCTTAAATGGTATGGGCATTGAATATTAGGTGAGAGAGAAACAGTATTTCAAATTTTCTGTATGTCCTGCACATATAATAACAATAAAAAACTTCACGTTTCTTTAGCTATGTTTTTGATCTCCACCAACTCTTGAAAGAAATATTTGGCTCCTTAGCTGCTAAATGCTTTGCTGTGTTCATCAGCTAATTTCTAACCTTGTATGTTTTTAGAGATTTGCCACTGAAATCAGTGGCCTATGACATCTGGAAACAGAGCTCTGATAGCAACATGAGGGAACCAGAATAGCACAGCTGTGGGCTGGACAATCAAAACAATGAGCTGAAAGATGCAAAAAACACTCCACAGAGGTGAGGGTAAAAGCAGAATCTGGTGATAATTCTCATGGGGTTCATTACTATAGTTGAGCCATTTTACATTATGCATGGTCAGCTGATCAATTGTTAAAATAAAAATATTAATTAGTACAGATTTAATAGCAAAAACTAAGAATTTTAAATCAAGGTTATACAAACACCACAATTTTTATTAAAGAGATACATAAATGTGCATTCATAGATTTTAATATGAAAGGCCTGAACACACTAAACACTACATTTGGAAATTCTTGTAAACTTCATTTTAGTGTGGTCAGTCGTTCATTTTTCAGTCTTGAGCTGATTGGCCGACATCTGGCAGAGTGAATACTACGCAGTGGTTGCATAGGGGTGCTGACCTTCTCATACACGCACACGCACATAATTATTTACAGCCTCACAGTTACTGCATGGGGGAAGAGAAAGAGCGCTGCCTGCTGTCGCCTCAAATACCTTTAATTGACTTTCACATCCATTTACCAGTCATGCATGGATTATGTTCCTGAGCAGCCAGAGAATGGCGAAACATTTAGAAATGTTTACCTCTGGTCGATGCTGCTCACTATGAATACTTCTCTGTATGAAGGGCCATCACCACCAGGAAGGTGGTTAGTGAAAAGGACATTTTTCCATGTACATAACTTGTCATGCTCAATTTACACCCTCAGCTTAAAGGAAAAGACTGATTCATTCCATATCAAACATTTAAGATGACTCATGACCAAGACTGCAGGGCTCCTTATGAGACCCATGTATGAAAATAAAAATAAAATGAGAAAATTAAATTGATAAGGGGGAAAAATAAAGTGGCATTTCAGAGCTCTGTGGCAGTGTGCTGTAATGTGGTGCAGACAGTCTGCAGAGGGCCTGGGTAGAGGCACACACTCTGTCAAGCTGATATATAGGCCCTGATGCTGCAGTGCTTCTGGTTCAATTTAATAAGCCAGAGAGTTAAGTGTCCATGTCAGGCTTCACACCAGCTCTCAAAAAGCCAACAAGCTCATCTGATTGAAAAAGCAGCACTGAGAGAGAGAGAAGTCTTTTCTCTCTGTTGGGCTGAAGTGAAGAAATTGTGACTGTTGCCCTCAGTGAATCTAAAATTAGGGTCCTTACCCAGGTTTTGGTCTCAATGCCCAAGTGCAGAAGAATGGTGAATAAAGCAAGGGTGGTTATGGGAGTTCCCCATGTAAACAAGTCCACGTCAGAGCCAGCGTAGGCCTGGAGAGAGGGAGAGGGAGAGTGGGAGGAGTCGGGGTAGAGAGAGGGGAAATGATGAGCAAGTAAGAGCAACAAGCTGAGTGAAGCCAAGCTGAAGGAAATTAAAACCAGACTCACAAAGTAAGGAACAAAGAAGCAGATCAGACTTTGGTAGATGGCATCAATCATGTTCATCCAGAACATGTATGGCTTATATTCCTGAAAGATAAAACCAGAGATTCATAGTCAAGGTTACAGCATTGTGGAATGTAAAGAAATTATATCATGAAGCACTTAATTAACACAGAGTTGTTTAACATCTATAGTAGTCAAGTGTACCTTTCCTCTTGCTTTCATACAGTAATCCAATCTGAACACACAAAACCGATGAAGTCACAACAAAACTAAAACTGTGCAAATACAGTCAAGGCCAAAACTACTGGCACCCCTACAATTCTGTCAGATAAGGCACCACTGCTCCCAGAAAATTGTGGAAATCAAAAATTCTTTGGTATTATGTTTATTTCTTTAGTTTGCATTGGAATGAGTCAAATCTGATCCATTCCACACACAACTCAAAAAATTGACTGGACAGAATTACTGACACCTTTTCAAAACCATCAGGAATAGTTGTATTTCAAGCATGTGATGCTCCTTTGATTTGTAATGACACTCACCTGTAGCAGCCAACAGGTTCTGGCAACATAGAAATCAAACTTGCAGCCAGTTAAAATGGAGAAAAGTTGACTCAACCTTTCTGTAGTGTGAACTACACTCGGCTTGGAGAAGAGAGAGAAGAGCAAAGAATTGTCTGAGGATTTGAGAACCACAACAGTGGAAACGCAGGGACGGTCTCAAGGCTCCAAGTCCATCTCCAGAGATCTGGCTGTTCCTGTGTCCACTGTGATCAACATTGTCAAGAGGTTTACAGCCCATGGTGCTGTAGCTAATCTCTCTGGACGTGGACGAAAGAGACAGATGACAGATTGCAATGAAGGATTGTTTGAATGGTGGATAAAAGACCCCCGATCAACTTCCAAACAAATTCAAGCTAACCTGCAGCCACAGGGTGCAACACTGTCAGCCCACACTGTCACCCATCTGAATGACAAGGAACGCTATGATAGGAGACCCAGGGTGACCCACTGCTGACACAGAGACATAAAAACCCAGATGGGAGTTTGCCAAAACCTACCTGGGGAAGCCACAAACCTTCTGGGAGAATGTCCTGTGGACAGATGAGACTAAAATAGAGCTTTTTGGTCGAGCACGTCATTGTACTGTTTTCAAAAAAATGAAATGAGGCCTTCAAAGAAAAGAACACGGTCCCTACAGTCAAACATGGTGGAGGTTCACTGGTGTTTTGGGGTTTGACTGTATGTATGGCATTATGAAAGACTACCACTGAATTCTGGGGCGCAACGTAGGGCCCAGTGTCAGAAAGGTCTCTGTCAGAGGTTATGGGTCTTACAGCAGGACAATGACCCAAAGCAGACTTCAAATTTCACCAGAAATTGATTCAGACAATGTGCTGGAGAGTTCTGAAGTGGGCAGCAATGTGTCCAGATCTAAATCCCATAGACCACCTGAGGAGAGATCAGCAGCTGGGAGAAGGAACCCTTCAAATCTGAGAGACCTGGAGCAGTTGGCAACAGAAGAGTGGTCCAACATTCCAGTAGAGAGGTGGAAGAAACTCACTGATGGTTACAGGAAGTGAGTGGTTTCAGTCATTATATGCTAGCACAACCTATGGACAAAACCTTAAGTTGAGGGTGTCAATAATTATGTTCATTTTTAGAGTTCTGTGCGGAATGCATCAAACTTGGCTTTTTTGTGTTGTCCAACGTAAACAAATGAAATAAACATGACAAAACCAAAGACTTTGTGATTGTAATGATTTTCTAGGAGAAGTGGTGTATTATCTGACAATGCAGGGATGCCAATATGTTTGGCCACGACCGAGTAATAACATACATGAAACAATTATTTAGAGGGAGTAATTTTATATCATGGTTTTCTTTGACTCAAACTCTGGATTAATTCGAATCAGCACTAGCTCATTTTTGCATCACACAGTGTGTGAGACAAACATAAAAATATTGGATAAGCTCAATTACAGTAAATCCAAATTTAAGTTTTGCATGAAAGTGAACTTACATAAAAATATTTTTTTGTAGAATTAGACTGACTTTCTAGTTTATAGGCGGGATAGCAATTAATTATTTTCATTATTGATTAAGTTAATTCCCTAATAGTAAAATGTTAGTGTATTGTAATTTTTTCAAAGGGGTACTATGTCAGCCAGTATATAATTGTACAAATACAACAAGCAGAGTGGACCTCAGAGTTTTGGCCGTTCACATAGAGCTGAGGTAGTTGCTGGAGAGTCTCTGCAGACACGTCTTTGTCCAAAGTGCCAGTGATGAGTTGTGGGAAGGCAGAGAACATCAGGTTGAAGAATATGAGATACCACTGGTCAATCATGGCTGAACCTGAGAATCCACAGTAGAACTGATACCAGAAGATGAGCGCTACAAACATCTGTGGGGCCAAAAGGTGACAAGGATGGTTTTGAAGGCAGTGACAAGGCAGAAAAAAAACAAAAAAACAAAAGCAGCACACAATTCATGCCTCATTTTGAACAAATCTGCTTGGCATACACACACACACACACACACACTGCTGCTATGTTTATTTGAACATTTAAATCCACACATTCAGTGAGCTCACTGTGCTGTATGGTAAACGATGCTTACAGCATTTTTGTAGAAGAAATACAGAATCATGTTAGCCAGCCGGGAGTAGCACCAGTGTCCGTGGACCAGCAGGAGCTTCTGGAGATACCGGAAACGTGGGAGAGCAAAGTCGCTTGCCATCACCGCCTGCACAAAACCAGAACGACACACACACACACACACAGTCGTCTCCATCCTGTACTTTCTCCCTCTCTCACACTATGTGCAGTTCTTAGGAAATGTGTTTAAAGCAGCTGGCCCTGCTATACCCACTCCGTTTAATGAATCTTTAGCAGGTATAACCTTTCCAAAGCAATAACCCTTAAATGAGTTGTCTGCCTCCAGGGATTCAGCCTTCATCTATCAACTTCCAAAATAAATACCTCCATGTAGTCAAGCTGGGTTTATAACTTACATTTTAAATAGCGCTGCTAACTCTTTATGATATCACCCAACTGTCAACATTATCTGTCAACAAGTAAAAATAATAGCAAATGCCTCTTGAGCGGCAGTTTAGTTTCTGCTGTGCTCTAATAATGGGGATGTAATGGCTGCATGGGGAGTGCGCTCCTAACACAAGAAAGGTGTGTTAATCATAATGCAGCGGGTGCTGGCTCAAGAAGTGTGCATCTCAGCTCACTGCGAAATCCCGAGGAGTGTCTGCTGCCTCATTAAGAGGAAATTTGATTAACAGTGATTAATGTCATGGTCCAGTTAAGGACAGGATACCAAGACTTTAACAGATGAGCTACACAGCAGTGTACCTGCAAAGCCTCCCCTGGAAGTTAATAGGGAATCTCCATCATTGCTTTGCAAGATCACCATTGTGGAACAGGGTGCAAGGAAGACGGGAGGTGGTGGAGATAGAGTTGGTGGTGGCCAGTCGACATTTTCTTTCTTTCTTTGCTGCTATTGCCAAAGATGCTACCTCAGCTGTGGCACTGGCAAAACTAAAGGATCCATAAAATGTGCTGCATCTCTGCAGGACACGGTGTAATCCTACTAGGAGGATATGGGCTAAAAACACACTTAGGAGTAATAAAAAACAAAACCATCCTAAAGAATGCCAGTGTCTTCCCTTATTACTTTACCATCTGTCCCAAAGCTCCTCTAATTCTCTATTCAACAACTCTCTCATCAGTTCATGTTTTTGTGATCCCATTCAAAACTACCTCACATCCTCGTGCACTTGCCTGCTCTCTTTGTCACTCCCTTCATCAATCCCTCCAATTCCCAGATGGTCTGGCCTAGATTTCTTCTTACCTGCATGCCCTCCTGTCCCGAGATCCCAACACCCACATCTGCTACTTGAATCATGCTGACATCATTTGCCCCATCGCCTAAAATTAATGTGGTAAAGAGAAAAAGAAAAAACAGTTCTAAGTACATGGCCTTAAAATACATTAATAAACACACTGCAGGGCAGAATGAACTTTATTGAGCGTGGCGATAGCCTCCCTGAGCTGCGTTGTTTTGTATGTGGGAGGAACATCAAGCATGCATGTAGCTTCTTCAGCTGTTTACCAGGCGCCCTTCTCCAGCTCCATGATCCCCCTGGTGGAGGCATAGCCAGGCCCGCTGGCTGATGTGTGCGCGCATTTTGGTTTGTGCACCGCTTTGAGGGTTGCAGATATATATATTGTTTTGTCACCACAGGTGGTAGAGTGGGAGCTGAAGCACTGGTGGGCAGAGAGGGTTTTGTAGTCAATAGTAAACAATACTAGAGTGGCAGCGCAACTAAAAATGAGAGGTATTGTAGGTGGCATTGAGAGCTTAAACAAAAATTTGTGTTGGCTGGCAAATACTGTTCCTGTAAGATAAACTCTGTTCAAACACACTGGCATTGCAGCAGTAACTGGCATCTCAATTTTACCACAATAGGTTTAAACTAATCAAACTGCACTCCATCTCTACTGCCCTCTATTAAAAAGGGGAACTCTACTGATTTTACACAACAAGCTCTTCTTACAGGTACTGAAGAGTGCTACTGCATATGTGAAATATATTTCACACAGCTCCTTCTGGAGATTGACAACTTTTGATAAATCTAATAAATGTCCTCAAGTGATTTCCCGAGTCAGTGTGGACTATAGCTGAAAATGAGACTAACCTGGAGGTGTGGAATTAGAAAGAAGAGACCTTACCAGACCTCTGTAGCCTACGCCTCATCTCTGACTGTTGGAGGTACATTAGCTGCTACGAGAACAATGTATTTGAGTCTCAGACTGAACTGTTGGCAGGTAGA